CTCACGCTTCCCTCTCCCCCTCCAGTCAGTCATGAAGTTTTGTCAAACTTAGTCCCAAATATCTTCTGATATTTCTTTCTACCTCCATTTCCCTGGTTGAAGTCCTCATTACTCCCATAAGTAAGATATAAATGAACTTTTGAATATGGCAGCATGATATGCTCTCAAACTTTCTGGATATGTGCCAGGGCTACTGATATTGCCAGCCATGCTTTTGGCCTCTGCTGAGTAGGCAGTGACTATGATTTGCATACCAAATGATCTCAGTCCCCATAGTTGATTGGGCCAGGGCTGGGCACCTGACCCAATGGTGGCTCTTTCTATAGGCTTGATTAGCCAATATATGACTTGGGTGACTGGTTGTAAAATACTAGCTGAGCGAAATTCCTCTTTTGGGATTTCAGAATAGAGAAGCTAAGAGTCTCAGACCATTCATACACAGAAGAGTCAGCAGGAATTATAGGCAGGAGCATGCTGCAGATCTGAGGAAGCAGATACTGTGAGTAAGCTGGGAGCTGGGGAGCCAGGAGAGAAGAGGGAAAGAAAGGAACTAAGGCACAGTGAGAAGGGTTCTGCTTCAGTTTCTATGGTTATTTAAGAATACTTCTGATGCCTGGCCCTACTATGATTCCTACTGTCAGAATTCCAGGAGTTGCTGCATTAACATAAACAAACAAAACAACCCTAGTGTGAGCAAACTTCAGCTTCCCTTGATAAACTGGCCAAAGAGTTCCGAGTTCCAGCAGGCCCTTAGAGTGTTCTGATGAGACATCTGGAAGAATGCAGCACTGTAACTAAGAGCAGCAATATGCAGTCCCAAATTCAGTGTTTATTCCAGTCCCTTTTAAAGCATCAGCTGAGGGAAAAAAGGGAAGGAAAGGTTATATCAATATTTCATTTGGGAGTGGAAGAATATTATGATGAGCTTCTTGTGTCAAAACCAGTCTTCATATAAAAACAAATTGGTTTCTGCAAACATAATTTCAGAAAGAAAAAGTAATTGCTGCTACAAATATCATATGACAATGACTATAGTAAGTGACAGAACATTGTCTGATGCTTATCAATCGTGGTGTAATCAAACCACCTTCTAGATGCTATTCTTCTAGGTAGCTGCCTTTCCATTTGCCAGCTGTTGGGACCAAAGGGATTGCTGAAGGTCTCCAGGATTCTTAGTCACATGTCCACATTACTCTCTCAAATAAGAATAAGTAAACTTATGGAAGGTTTATGGGTAAGAAACAACATTAGGCACATGTAATTAATACTCTATGAATACAGTCAGGTAGCATCTTTATTTATGTCTCCCAGTATCCCTAGAAAGTGTATGCAATGGGTAGTTTCCTACTCTGTTTAGGATAAAATTAAAACCAGGTAGTGTCAGGACTCTTGAGCATTCTCAAGCAATAGAAAGTCCCATGGTCACTTCAAATTGTGTCACTGTGTCTATTCCTATGTCATAAACAAAACTTAGAACTTGGTTTAAAATTAAGTCTTATCCTTACCCCCATGAGCAGCCATGTGCAGGTGGGAAGGTGTGGAAGGGGAAGGTCTGTCTCTCCTTGCTCCTGGCAGCTTCTGATTCTTCTAGGGTTGGGATGGGGGAAGGTAGGAGACGTGGGGAGAGCGGGAAGAGCATTGTCTGGTGAAGTGGTAAGAGGGCCTCCAGCTTTCTGGGCCTGGTAAACATTTCACAGGGGCTTTTGTGGGTTCTTGGGACGTTGCACTTACAGCTGGTGATGTCTCAGCTGCAGTTCCCTGGATTCAGACAAATGTACTCCATTTGAGCAGCCACCTGTTTCCTCAGCCGCTAGGAACCTAGTGTTTTCCCTCTGCTTCCCCTCTTCTAAGGCTTGGCTGTACCTAAGGCTCCTCCCGGCCAGCCCTTGCTCATAATTGACCCAGATCTGATTCATAAAGAAACACACACACACATCCTTCCCCTGGATACACTTGGAGCAACAGCAGCTCCCCTTCAATCTGCACCATAAATGGCTTGCTAGCTCATCTTTCACATGATTTCCCAGATGGGAGCTGGACCACTGTGCTCTTCCTACCCAAGGACATATGTTAAGCTCTCTGATGGGTCCCACTTATGTCTCTTTCTCTTGACATGAGGTGACCCCAACCTTTTACTTTGATAGGAACTGAGAACACAACTTTTTAAAAAAAAAATACTCCAAAAAAATTAATATAAAAAACCCCTCCAAATATCCTCTCTCCAATCTCCAACAATCCTATGTGATCTAGTATTTCTTTTGAGATGTAGCATCTGTTGTTTTTTGGTGCCTCAGCCAACACTTTAGTTTTAACACCCTGTAATTACGGGTTTTTACTTGTTTAAAATTCTAAGGTCAGCCCAGCCAGGCGTAGCTCAGCGGTTGAGCATTGACCTAGGATCCAGGAGATCGAGGTTCGATTCCCAGTCAGGGCACATGCCTGGGGTGTGGGCTCGATCCCCAGCAGGGGCATGCAGGGGGCAGCTGATCAATGATGTTTCTATCTCTCCCTCTTCCTTCCTCTCTCTGAAATCAGTAAACTTATATTTAAAAATAAAATAAAATCCTAAGGTCAGAAATTTGCTGTTTGGATGAAGTCCTTGCACTTCCTATACACCATGGTCACACTCAGGCAAGAAGTGCTCCAAAAGAACAAACCTGCAGGGCACCTGGCCAGCCCCACTTTCTGAAGGGAACCAATGGATTCCCTCCCTCGTAGCTCAGCAGACCCTGAAAGTCTTGGAACTTTACCAACTGATGGCCAAAGAGAAGGATCAGCAACCCTAGGACATGGGCCATATAGCCCTCATACTGCTTGGAGTAAGGAACACAGGGTGTGCAGAGATACAGGTGGGAGATCTTCTCCCTGGTTGTGTTGAAGATGTGAACATCCTGGAGGGCTACTAGAGGGGACTACTGAGTTTAGCGTGCTTGAGGACCAGAAGGACTGAGAAAGCCTGGAGTAGAGAGGCCAGATATGCCTGAGGAATCAGGAGCCAGAGGGCTGGCTCTGGATGAAGCCTGGAAGCATGGGAGGAAACCACTGCAGGGGAAAAAATCACCCATTTCTTGAGGTCCTTCACAAGGTGGAACCTAATCGATCTTGTCAGTCTCCTCTCTTTACTGCAGCCATACAAAACCACTTGCCATTCCTCTAAATATGCCACACCCTTCCACACTCTTTCCTTTTTCACATTCTACTCATTCAAGATGGAATATCCTCCTCAATCTCAACCCCCCTCCCATTGCTTCTATTCAACCATCAAGATCTAGTTTAAGTCTAGTTTTCTGTGAAGACTTCCTGCCACTTTCCCATCTAGCTGCTGTACCACTTTTTACATGTCTCAGTTCTGGCTCTCGTGGCACTACATTGTAGTGCTTTATTAACTTGCCTCTCCCTGCTCCCCAAGAGATAGTGTCTCTAAGACAAGGACAGTACCTTATTTATTCCTCTACTCCAGCCACCTACGATTGTGCTTCAATGTTGCAGGGTCTTCTATTGCTGGGTGACAGGTTACCATAAAATTAACAGCTTGAAACACACATTTATTATTTCACAGTTTCTGAAGGTCAGAAGTTTAGGCATGGTGTGGCTGAAATCAAGGTGTTAGCCAGGGCTGTGATTCTCACCTGGAGCCCAAAATCCTTTTTTAGGCTTGCTGTTTGTTGACAGAATTAATTTTTTTAAAGCTATAGGACTGATGTACCCATTTTCCTGCTAGCTGTTGGCCAAGAACTACTCTCAGTTCCTAGAGGCTGCCTACAGTTTCTTGCCATGTGGCCCACTAGACAGTTTACAATGCATGTTTATTTCCTTCCAAGCTAGCTGGAACACGTCTCTTTAATTTCCTCATTTATAATCAGCCAGAGAGAATTCTCGGCTTTTAAAGGGCTCAACTGATTAGGTTAGGCCCAACCAGGATAATCTACTTTTGCCATACAATGTAACATAATCACAGCAGTGATATTTCATCATATTCTTGAGTTCCACCCACACTTAAAGGGGAGGGAATACAGGATGTGGGTTCATTGGGGTCAATTTTGCCTACCACAGAGCTCAATGAATATTTATAAAACCAAATAAGATGTGTTCCAGAAATATATAAATTATAAACACTGCTACTCAATTGTAAGAATTTTTTCTCATCTTGGAAGGCTTTTAAAGTTGCTTCCTAATTTGTGTTGGATCCAGAATGGTTGAGGATGTTCTATGTGAAATAACATGATGCCCCTGCTGTGAGCTCAGGTAGTGCTGAAATTTGGAGTGGGTGGTAAGACCTGGTCTGACAGCTGACTGACTGTGTGACCTCAGCCTAAGTCCCCAAAACTCTCCGAATGTCAGATTCCTCTTCATGTATGAGATAAGGGTGGTGGGATTACATAATGTCTAAGGTTGGCCAACTTTAATATCCTATAATTTCTAACACTAAATCATACTGATCAGATTTAAACCTAGCCAAGGGACTTACAATATCCAAATTCATGAAAATAGTCTATGAAAGAATTTCATTATAGATGAAATTACAATGATGTGACTTTAAGAGGAAAAGGCAGTTTTGTTTTTTAATAAACCCACTCCTATATTGACCAAGCCTGATTAAATATAAATAAGAGTACACAACTACATTTTTAATACTTTACATAAAATTGTAAAGAATATTTTGTCTTTAGATAACATATCTGTCCAGCTATGGTCTGAAGTGAATTTTCTCTAAGATATCAAAACTTAATAAAACTACTGTTTTATAATAAGCTTAATTAACTCAATTGATGATAACTGAAAAACTGTCAAAGTCAGTATTCAAACATTACGTATCAATTCATTGACTATATGCAAAGCATGTTGAGATTCTTATATACATTTTGGGGGTTTAAGTCTTCCTTTTGTTTTTCTCAAATGAAGCTTCTTTGGCTGAGATAATTATTTTCTTCTACCCAAAAAAATGAGCTCTAATTTTAAACAGGTAATATTAAGTTCCACCGAAATAGGCTTCATGCAGATGTATTTGTTAAAACATCCCTTTATTGACTGTGCACAGTTATTAACAATTCACATTTCACTTTATCTACTGAGAGGAAGAGCATTTATTCTTTCATTAAAAAGTTAAGCCCTCAGGGCAGCAGCAGGGATGTAGAGTCTTCTTCCTATAAATGGCATTGTCCAATGAATGTGAAATGTTTCCATATTAATACAAAAGAGAAAAAGAAATAAAACACCCTCCACCATCCACTCCCTGCCAATATACTCCTCTTATTTTATTAAGTGCCAAAAGGTAAACAGTTCCCACAGTGGTACTTCCATCAGTCAGAAGAGAAATGTCAACATTTATTTGGCACCACTAAGTTCAAAAATTCGTTAGGGCTATATGACAGTGACAAAAGGAGTACGAGGCCGTGGCCACTTCCTCAGGAAGATCTCTTTTGGACAGTGAGAGTGGAAAATCACGAGGGCTTTCATCAGCCTCCAGTACCTTGCTGCTCAAGTTTCTGGAGCTGTTTTTCAAGTTTTGAGATGTTTACTCGATGCATCATCAGAAACTTGCCATTCAAATGAAAGACGGGGATGTCAAATTTATATCTCTCATACCAAACAGAGTTCTCTGGAAGTGTGATGTCCACCTCCTGTAAAATAAACTGAAACAGAGACAGACTAAAGCTCTATATTTTAGGGAACATGGAACAATGCAGTAACCTCAGTGACAAACTGATCCCCAGACTGGTTCTAATGCTGAGAGGTTTTTGTTGTTGTTGTTTGTGTGAGGTCCAAAGTAATCTAATGCCCCTGATTTTCACAACTTGATTGATTTCATTATATTCCCTGACTCCTGCTTTTGCTGCTTTCCTGTTATACCTGTTACATTCAGCAGCCAGGCACTACTCAGTCTCCAATGAAATAAAATATGTCCCGATTGGGAAGTTTCCTGAGAATCAGGGAAGACGTGTTTTGGTTTTAAAAATGAGAAAGGTGTCATGGTTTACTACAGGAGAATACTTCCATGGAAGTAACAAAATAAGAGAAAAGGAACAGGGACAAAAGTTTTGAAAAAGCACGAATACCACACCTGATGTTTAACTGACTCACATGAAGAGTAAGGAAACCAGTGCTGCTCAGAGAAAAACACTTAGGGATAATGAGTTTTATGGAAATTAGCGCTAAAATCTCTCTCTGAAAATTAGAAAGAAAATGTAAATGAAAAATCATTTACTCTCTTTTCCTAAAGAAAGGATCCAGATACCTTATATCATATACACTATCCATTCCATATACATAAAGCCATACTGCACTACATTACCCTGTTTTTATAAGGCTCCAGTACTTCCTTAGCTTCATCACAAAGGGGACATGGATCCTACAGAAGAAAAAATAAAGCCATTAAACCCAAGAATGGCAGCAGCCTGACAAAAAACACTGAAGCAGATTATATATATTTTAAAGGACTGTTTTCTACCAGGTTAATTACACTTTTATTTCCAAAGTAAAACACTGTCATAGAATCTTGTAAATAGCTAGTATTTCATGGTAAATGGGCTCTCAGCATTTTTCAGTTGTTTTGTTTTGATTTGTCTCCATAAATTTATCTAACAAATTTAGATGCTTACATTTGTTACACATACGTATATATATATACACACACACATATGTACACATACATGTATATAACAAATATATCTAAATTTATTAGATATGTATTATAGATAGATATAGATACATATGTACATATACATATGTACATATACACATACACAATACATTTTTTTGTTACTGGCTTCATCTTATTGATATCTGGGAAGATTATTTTTCACCGATCTATACTCCAAGGAGCACCTTCCTGGTCTGGCTGACATCACCAGAATAGCTAAAAGTCTGCTTTGAATGGGGGGCACTGAGCTTTGCCAGCCTGTTTCTCCTAATCAATCCACAGGAATAAACCCATTGGGATGGAGTTAGATAGTAAGTGCCCCATCTTTTAAAAGGAAAATATTTCAGATGATGGATGTACCAACTCTTTAATGTTTTGTCTGTTTCTCATTACAAGTGTCAGCAAAAGGTTTCCCAGATAATTCTCCACCTGAGAAGCAAGCACGTTTTAGTGCCTGTTGTTGTTTGTACTCTGACCACGTAGTGGTAAAGTCTGTCGAGAATGCTATGGATCGTTAGCAGATTTTAAAGGCTTCTCAGGTCTTGACTCTATGAACAGGAACTAGCTATAGGTTCTCTTGCATGAGCTCAGAATAGACTCATCATTACTGATGCTGATATAAAACTAGCTTTTTAACATGACAGGAAGAGATGAGCTGTTATGTAAAAGAAAGGCCCTTCCTCCAGCTTAACACAGCTTTTTTTTTCAACCAAGATTTAATGTACATTTATTCTTAACATGTGAAACACATAATATAAAGATTTCATACTGAATAACTGATATTCATTAAGCCAAAAAAGGAGGAATTTACATCAAGTTTTAGCTACATTGTTCGAAATACAAACATGCAGATTTTATCACTGAAAACATTTCAGTTGTGTTTCTTCATCAGAAACTTCAACTGTACCTAGAATTATTTCACATTTCCATTATAAAGAAAACAAAAACCCAGAAAAAAAATAAGTTGATTGGCTGCTGAGACAGTAAGGACCTCTTACAGAGAACCTGTATAGCACTGCACCTAGAGGGGTGAAGTCTGGCAAGAGATTAAATAGCTGTGTCTCACTTTGTGTAGGTCACCACTTGTTAACTTGTTGTACTATAAAGGGACCAAACTGTGGGGATCCGAGGGTATGTGCAATGTACAACATCATATATATACACATGTGTCCAAGGGTATGTGCAATGTACGATGTCATACACACACACACACACACACACACACACAAACACAGCATAGTCGCTGCAGCTAAAGGTGAGCACCAGCTCTAAGGGGTGATCTCAGGGTTGGTTATTCATATAATCAAGGAGAGAAAAAGGTCAGGGTGTTGTAGGTTCACACGTGATACTCTGGGGGAAAGTCTTTTTTTCCCTCCTTAACATTTAACTAAAAGCATTTTTAAAAGCTTGTTGCTGACCCAGGGTTTTTCTCTTGTTTCTATGTGAGACATTATTATTACAGTATTTTTACAGTATCATGTGTACAGTACAGTACATGGAAAGGTCTACACTCTACTGCACAGGCCTCACCAGTGAACAGGGTCTGTCCATACCTGTGAACTTCTCGGCTCCTGCGAGATTGTGAGTGTGCAATAAACCATACATACTTCAGCAGCCGCCTTTTTTGTCTTTCAGGGTTTTTTGTTTGTTTTGTTTTTTAATCACTGAAAACAGTTATGAAATGTGCTGTCCTGTTGATGCAAGGACTAGGAAAGCTATTTTTATTCCCCAAACTCACTGTAAATGACAGTAACTTGGGTTGAAATAAAAAAAAGTCTTCTATGTAGGCAGAGCTTCATCTTTTCAAATAGGGTGGGGTACTGAGACTCACAGCTTATTTTGAAATAAGAACTCACATCAAAAGTCGGTTTTTCTTCATAAGGGTCTCTCTGTCCCTAATTTCCTGGTTCAGAGAATTAGGCTCATGTTGCTACTATTAGCATTATCAATAAGCAGATTACGGATAGTCTGTGATGTGTTGAGATAATTATGCTGACATTTTCTGAGAAAGTTTAAAAAAGTCAACAGAAGCTCACAAAAACAAAAGCAAAACAAAAACAAACTAAATTGCACAAGTACCAAATTACCAATGTTTTGCTTTTATAATAAAAAACTTAAGTAGAACATAGATCAGGTTTTTTTGTGTTTTGTTTTGTTTTTAAAAGCTGCTGTCCATAGAAATCTGTGCAAATTATCGTGTGTGTGTGAGGAAAGATTCATCAAATTTTAAAGAGGTCTACGAACTGAAAAAGGTGAGACCCAGTGGTCTGGATCATTCAAATATCCTTGTCCAGGATTTTCCATGGTACTAATAGAGCATTTATTTACGCTAGCCCTGAATTATAGTGAACATTTGTTGGGTTGGTTGTCCACCACCCACACCCCTTTCTTGTAGCAAGAATGCTGTGCTTTTGCCTCACAGGAACTGCTCTCAGCATGTGGTTGACTCCATCCCTGAACAACAGGGGTGGAACACCTGACTTGGACTGAGGCAGTCAGCACATCCTATCCCTTTCGCTAAAATGGAAGGGCACAGGGATTAGGCTGATCAGAGCCAACAGAAAGCTATGAGGCTTTTGCTGGAGTTTCTGTAGATACCCAAGCTGTGTGATCTGGGGCTTGGGATCACTGCAGTCATTCATGAGAAGAGGTAGAGCCAGGACAGATTTAACCCAGAGGATAAAGCTGAAGAGATTGGCAACTGTTTAGTTTCAGAATGAAGCTACTCCTGAAACCAGACCAAGCCATAAAATCCCATTTTTGTTTAAGCCACTCTGGGAAGTACTTTCTATTATTTATAACTGAAAGAGACCTAATACTGTGCTTTTTCTTTCTCTGGATTGTGAACTCCTGAAGGTGAGAGTGATACTATATGCCTAATGACACATAAAGGTTTCAGTACAAAATTTAAGCTGAATGGAAGATTAGTGTATGTTTTTTGCAAATGTTTTCAGCTAACTTGGCTGTTGCTCAGACTGAAAAATTGTGCAGAATTGTTAGGCTGAGTGAACACCATTTGCCTTAAGGGATTTCATTTTTGTGGTTAATTCTCACATGCATTTCTCATATGTAGGCACAGATGATGAAATAGTTTTGTTCCATAATTTCCAACAGTGCAAGATATACTTATGGATATGAAACATAGTTAGAGTAACTATTCTCAACGAGAAATTAATTTTTAAAACTTTTAAAGCTTTGTTGTTAGATAACCATCAGATATTTTTAAATTGTTAAAATGCCTGAAATCTGAAAAATCTATTAAACACAAGACTTTTTTTGTTTGAATTGCAGTATTAGTCACTAAAGTTAATTCTATTACCCTGCACTTTATTTCTTTTTTTTTTTTTATAAATCACACAAAATAATGTTAACTAGCAAAAGAAAATTAGTAATGCTTGTATTATAAATTTCAGGGAGAAAAGCTCTTAAAAAATTTAAACTATAAATTATACCTTAAAACTAGTGTTAGGGATAAGAAAACACAGTCAATGCTCAGTCAGTTCTGTATTTTCAAGTTCACCTGTTCATTAAAGTGCACATTCCCAGCTGAGGTTGAACAAGGTGATGCCCTGCCTTCTTGTTTGAGCTCACACTTGTAAACAGGTGTCCTTCTCATGATCTATTTAGTGCCATGTTTTCTGCTTTTTTGTGCTTTCTGTTTTTGATAGTGCTGAAGTGCTGTCTAATGTTTCTAAGCACAAGAAGGCTGTGATGTGCCTTATGGAGAAAATACTGTGTTAGATAAGCTTTGTTCAGTCATGAGTTATAGTGCTGTTGGCCGTGAGCTCAATATTAATGAATCGACAACATAGATTAAATAAGGTGTCTTTAAACAGAAAGGTTATGTATTGATTGATTGACTAAAATGTTACCAGAAGCTCATAGGACTCTAACCCTGTATTTCCCCCAGGAGCAATGGTTTAGTGTTTGCTAATTCAGTGTTTGTGGTGACTTTACAGAACATAACAATCACAAACAAAAAAGACTAAGTTTCTAAGTGATACATTTGTAAACATCATATTGTAATCTGATAGTTCTTTCTTTCAATTAGGGATGTCAGATGACTATTAAATATATTAACTTATCCTCTAATTGTGAGACAATGAGGTATCTGGGGAGGAAACAGAATTACTACTGTTGTTACTGAAACTGAAAAACTGAGAAGCAGGTCTGAAGAATGTTTATTCCTCCCCTCCCCT